TTTTTGCCTACAAATGTCTGCTGTTGAATTTAGGCTTCCCCCATTAAAGCGACGAGGTGGACATAGCAATGCCGCGAATTTTTAAGAAACATTCGGTAAATCTAATGTGCTGCAATACAACGTATTTTTTAGTCTGGTATCTGAATAACAGATTTAAGATTACATTACTAGATAATTGATAATAATTAAATAAGTACCCCTAAACATGTCTTTACGGCGCCAGAATTTCTAAATACTTTGTTACGTACGTTGTTTATGCACAAATTATAGTCATGTTTTTTCATTTATGTTGATAGGACGACAGCTTAGATTATGTTGCTGCATACATTTTCTGGATTAATGGATATATGGCCATCAGTTAAAAGAAATGGACGTGAAATAGAAAAGGAGGTTATATTAGGATGCCATTGATATGGAGGAAATGGTCCTTCCAGCGATAGTTTTAGTGGCCGTGGACAAAAGTAGTGTAGTTGTACCACTTCTAGACCACCTGAGTCAGACGTGGTTCAACGACGTTCGTCGACGCCCGATCCTAAAAAAAAAAAAAGAAAAAAAAAAAGGTTTTGGCATGCTCTGATCACGAATCCGCGGTCCATTTTTGTGTAGAATGCATGGTTCCGGAGATGTGTAGATCAATTAGCTAATATCTAATTGATATCCGGTAAGGGCCTCCACCGTCATTAGCGTCCCATTGTTCCTATTTCTATTGTTCTATTGTTCCTTAATCACCTTCATTGCAGCGTGTGCGTCGACTATATCAGTGCTATTGTTTATTATAATTCTTTGTTTATACAACGCTAATCTGAATCATCAATAAAACACATTACATAATTTTGTTACAATTTTTATTTATAAAATACAAAATCTTATTAATTATTATCTATAAAATAGGAGCGAAACATCTCATCCACTAAAATATCGTTGTACAATGTGTTCCTTGTAAATATACTCGTAAAACTATGTATTGAACATCCTTGAAACTTATATAGTAAATACATTAAGCAATATTCGCCACAAACTGAAGTCCACTCATTCTGAATCCTATCAACATTCCAGTTCCATCTTTTACAATTCCTTTTTAAAAACTCTAGATGATATCGTACAGGTGATCGTCCATATGAATCAAAATATTGACCGACGTCATTCGTATCGATATATAAAGCTACCCAATGTGACCCTGGTTTATCATCTGTATCCAAATTACATATTATATACGTTGGTACGTGGGTATACATAGGCAGTCTATTAGCTGCATAAACATTATTTTCTAGACTGGGGTGAATCTTTTTCAGATGTTGTTGTACATCTAGTGTATCCATGATATTACTGCTATTAGTAGATTATTACAGTACCTAGCTACTCAATGAATAACATAGGAATGGTCAATTATAGTAATTTCTACATATTAAATTGCATTTTTGTGATATACAAATCGTACTTGAGTCATTGATCACCAAACAAAACACAATACGAAGAAATGTTGAGATAGGCAACGGAAATGTGAGATAAACTGATATGTTTCTAAATATTAAATTGCATTTTTGTGTTATACAAATCGTACTTGAGTCATTGATCACCAAACAAAACACAATACGAAGAAATGTTGAGATAGGCAACGGAAATGTGAGATAAACTGGTTGACGCATAAAGTAATTATCAACTCATTACGGAAATACTTTAGATTAGAATTTTTACGTACTGGTGGTATATAAGACCAACAAACGAAGTCATCGAGTTAGTGTACGGTCGTTTGGCTACAGTGGATCTATCAATAGTACATTTTGTGTTACTTCAATACACCAAAGGCTATGGATGTAAGTGTTTATTCTATTGACTAAATTACTTTTTTTCTGTTATTTTCATGTGTGTGTATTATTTAAATATTGTGTATGTATATGATTAAGCCGTGGTAACTCAGATGGTTAGCGCTAGCTGTAAATTTCACAGTACGCGACCCGGGTTCGATCCCCGCCAGCACCAATTAAATTGTTAATAGCAATTTTAAGTGCTTATTACCACGTGCTTGGTGGTGAAGGAAAACATCGTGAGGAAACCTGCATGTCTGAGAAAATTTCGAAGGCATGTGAAGTTCGCCAACACACATTGAGGGAGCGCGGCGGACATTTCCTTGCTCTAAAACCCTCTCAGAAATGAGAGGAGGCCTATGTTCAGCAGTGGACTTTAATAGGCTGTAACTTTAACTTTTTTAACTTTTATGATTAAGTGTTAACAAATTGATATTAACATGATAACTGTGTTGTTGCAGAAATCATTGAGCTTCGATGAAGATACCTATAAACAGTATTACTACTCGCCACTCTCCCCTCAAGAAGAGAGTGATAACCTCGTCATTAATAATAACACATGCGATGGTGGAAAAAGAAAATCGCAATCGATTGATCATTTTTTTGAAGCTGAATCAAAAATAAAAAAGAGGAAGGGAAAACTTCAGTGAAGTGTGCACCAGTGCTTTTTTCTCCACAATCATGGAAGAGAATACGGAACTATTCAATAGCGAATTAAATCAGGAGTTGTCTAAAGTTTGTGAAGAAATGGAGAGGGGTCAACTGTTCGATTCGTCATACGATGATGAGTTGTATCATCACTGTGCGATGGTTGAAACACAGTTTAAGTATGTAAAATAAACATTCATTTCGATCATAATTTACATATTGTCTTATACAGTTTTTAATAAATTTAAACATTTTAGCAGTCAACCACTACAACTTGGAAGAGGAACGAAGCGAACGTGCAGCAAAGAATCCAAGATCATCAAAAAACCAACAACGGAAGCAGAAGCGCATACCTCTGCAGGGAACAGTATCAGTAACGATGATCAAGTGGAATGTCCAACGTGCCATATATTTATCAAGAAACGGTATTTAGCTAATCATTTTAAAAGTAATGTTCATAAAAATAATCTTTTAAATTCACATAATTCTTTATCAAACGTTAGTGTTATTGAATCTGCTTTTGGAAATAGGATTTTAACTTATAAAATCAAGAGTAGAGTAGATCGTTCGACATGGGTAAATTTTGAAACTCCTGAACTATTTTTAAATTCTATTAAAGATGATATTTTATTTTTATTACAAGAGTGTATTCATCAACACATAATTTTTAAGGTAAACTTCATATTGCATGCTGATTTTGTTCAACAAACTAAAGATATTCATGATACGTTCGATTTTCAAACGCTTAACTATATTATTTGTCAAGGAGATGACTTAAATATTTTTCTTTCATCTTTAAATGATACAATTACTACTAAAATTAGTGCTTTCGAAAAAAAAGATAGCGGATGGAGTCTAAAAAACATAAAATCTATAGACATGAATGTTAATAAATTTAACCCCCTACGCGGTACTTCATACATAGATCTTCCTCGTGACATAAAATTAAAAAAGGCTGTTATAAATGTAAAAAACAAGGATTATTTTTGTTTTAAATGGGCGTTACTCTCGGCGTTATATCCTGTAAACAAACACACCGATCGGGTATCATCGTACGTTAAACATGCAAATAAACTTAAATTTGATGGTATTTCCTTTCCGGTTAAAATTTCTGACATAGCAAAAGTAGAGAAATTAAATGATATTAGTATTAATGTTTTTGGGTTAGAATATAATAAAGAAAAACGATGTAATTCTATAGTAGGTCCATTATTTTTAACAAAGTGTCGTAAAGATAGACATATCAATTTATTATTTTTTTCCAAGGATACAAAAAATCATTATTGCTATATAAAAAATTTATCGCGGTTAGTTAGTAAACAAATTTCAAAAGACGGTCACATCATGTACATTTGTGAAGCATGTCTACTTCGTTTTCCATCTCAGGAAAGGTTAAATAACCATGAACAATACGATTGTGCTCACATTTGTACAGTATTACCAAACAGTGAAACTTTAAAAAAAAAGAATTGGTTTGGTCAACCTATTTCAAATGATAAAATTAAATTTGATAGTTATGAAAAAAAGTTAAAGATACCATTCGTAGTTTATGCTGATTTTGAAGCATTTTTAAAACCAATAGAATCATGTTCTAACGATCCTTCCAAACCTTTCACTCATAATATTCAGAAACATGAAGTACATAGTTTTGGATATTATATAAAATGTTCATATGATGATTAATTATCAAAATATGTAACATATTGCGGACCCAACTGTGCACAAGTGTTTATGGAAAGTTTATCTAACAATCTAAAAGAAATAAATAGACTTCAAAAATATCCACCACTTCCGCTAACAAATGAAGACAAAAACCAAATTTCAAATGCAACCATTTGTCATATTTGTGAAACTGAGTTGGCAAAACATTTTTATGATTTTGATTGGTACACTGGTAGTTTTATAGGTGTTGCTCATGAATCATGTTGTTCGAAGATCAGAACACCTAGTTATATACCAATATTTTTACACAACCTTAGTCACTATGATGCTCATTTTATTGTTCACGCGTTAAACTTTTGTGATGGTGAAGTCGAAGTTATCCCTCAAAATAAAGAAAAATATATATCCTTTTCCAAAAAATTAAAAGTGAATAACCACGAAATTATATTGAGATTCTTAGATTCATTTAAGTTTTTATCGTGTAAATTAGAAGAATTGGCCAAAAATCTCAGTAATGATCAATTTCAAGAATTACGTAGAAATTACCCTAATGATGAAGATTTCTTTCGTTTAAAACGGAAAGGTGTTTATCCATATGAACTTATGACTAATTATGATAGTTTAAGTCTAACATCGCTCCCTGAACAAAAATGTTTTTATAGTTCACTCACAGATTCACATATTTCAAATGATGATTACAATCATGCTAAAGATGTTTGGGAACATTTTGGGTGTTGTAATATGCTAGATTATTCAAACCTGTATTTAAAAACAGACGTTTTACTTTTATCCGATGTATTTGAAAACTTTAGAAAGTTATGTATTAATACATATGATTTAGACCCTGTCCATTATTACACAGCACCCGGTTTAAGTTGGGATGCAATGTTAAAATATACAAAAATAGAATTAGAACTTTTAACAGATTATGAGAAAATTGCATTTATTAGATCAGGTATCAGAGGTGGTGTATCTCAATGTAGTAATCGTTATGCTAGAGCTAATAACAAATACATGGAGGATTATGATACAGGGAAATCAAATTCATATATCACATATTTTGATGCCAACAATTTATATGGTTGGGCTATGTCTCAATATCTTCCCACTGGTGGATTCGAATGGGTAAATCCAAATACAGAATTTAATGTGTCTAAGACATCAGACTTCGGTTTTATTTTAGAAGTTGATTTGGAATATCCAGATGAACTTCATGATTTACATACGGACTTTCCTTTATGTCCAGAAAACATTTGTGTAGGCAATATTAATGAGAATAAACTAGTCCCAAATTTAAATAATAAAGATAAATATGTAATTCATTACAGAAATTTAAAGCAGTGCATAGAAATGGGGGTTAAATTAACTAAAATTCATAGAGTTTTAAAATTTAAACAGTCTCCCTGGTTGAAGATGTACATAGATCTAAACACAAAATTAAGAACTTTAGCAAAATCAGATTTCGAAAAAGATTTTTATAAATTAATGAATAATTCAGTCTTCGGTAAGACAATGGAGAATATTGAGAAAAGGGTTAACATAAAATTAGTTACACACTGGGAGAACCAGGGTAAAGCTTTAGGTGCTCAAGATCTAATCGCTAAACCACAATTTCATAGCTTTTCAATATTTTCGGAAAACCTAGTTGCGGTTCAGTTGCGAAAAACGAAGTTAATATATAACAAACCAATTTATTTAGGGTTTTGCATTTTAGATATTTCAAAAACATTAATGTATGATTTTCATTATAACTATATGATTAAAAAGTTTAGTAAAATCAAATTATTGTATACAGATACGGATAGTTTAATATATCATATATTTACAAATGATTTTTACACTGATATAAAACCTGACCTTTCATCATACTTTGATACCTCATTATGATACAAATAATATTTTTGAATATCCAAAATTAAATAAAAAGAAATTAGGTTTTTTTAAAGATGAAAATAATGGTAAAATCATGAAAGAATTTGTGGGTTTACGATCCAAAATGTACGCTTTTAACTTAGAGAATAAGACTATAGCCAAGGCAAAAGGGGTAAATAAATGTATCACTAAAAAGATGACAATGAATAGTAATAAGTCTTCTCTATTTAATAAAAAAGTGCAATATTATAGTATGCTTAGATTTAAATCAATTAAACACACAATTTTCACACAAAAATTAAATAAGATAGGTTTATCATATAATGACACAAAGAGACATATTTTAGATAATAATATTGAAACATTAGCTTGGGGTCATTATAAACTACGTTAAGTGTTGATAGTTTTTACTTTTATGTCTGCGTTTAAGAAAAATTTATATTGATTGTAAAATTATGATAATACTATAATATGACGTAGTTTATTACATATTTAATCATTGTTTTATTGTAAATAATTTAAGTTAATTGTTGTTTCTATTTATTTGAGGTTGAGTTAATTGTAAAATTATGATGTACTAATTGTGTTAGAAATAGTATACAGATAATTCTGTTTTATATAATTTTTGGAATATATATTAATTGTTTACACCAACACTTTCATTTTTTATTTCACCCCTTTGAACTTTAGACGTGTGTTATGTTTCACTTTATCCATCCGTTCACTGCTATTGTGGCAGGACCAAGTGGGTGTGGGAAGTCAAATTTTGTAACAAATTTCATAAAATCAGTTACAGAAATATGTAATTGTGATTTTAATCAGATCACATGGTGCTTTGATGAAATGCAACCATTATATAATTTACCAAATGTTAACTATCATCAAGGAATTCCAAATCTTAATATGTTTGATGGTGAAAACCCACATCTTGTTATTATTGATGATCTAATGAGAGAGTCCGATGGAAGAATTGTGGATATATTTACAAAAGGTAGTCATCACAGGAATCTTAGTGTATTTTATCTAACACAAAATTTATTTCATCAGGGTAAAGGACAAAGAGACATATCTTTAAACTCAAGTTATATAATATATTTTAAAAACCCTCGAGATAAAACTCAAATAAGATATTTAGCAAGACAAGTATCACCAGATAACCCAAAATTCATTGAAAATGCCTACAGGGATGCAACTCTAGAGGCGCATGGATATTTAATGGTAGATTTAAAACAGAATACCAATGATTTTTGTCGTATCAAGACAAATGTCTTTCCATTTAATGGTTTCTGTACAGTCTACGTCCCCACAAAAGAGTTTAAATACACCAAGAATCAAACAATTGAAATCATTGCTAAATGATGCATCGTCGACTCACAACGTATAAACATTTGCTAACCGCTTTGCATACGCTTAAACCAAAATATCAAAGAGCATTACTTAAAACGTGTGATGAAGAAGAAATTAACTGTATTTGTGAGTGTATTCATAACGTTTTACAAGGAAAAGTACCTCTTAAAGATCAGGATAAACAAAAATTGAATAAACATAAAAACATACTCCGTAAACTAGTACGTAAGTGTAAACATAAACTAAGAAAAAATATAATTATACAAAAAGGAGGGGCTTTCTTACCAACAATATTAGGTGCAATATTGAGTGGATTAGTGAGTGGACTAGCCAGTTAACATGGAAAATGCAAAGAAAATGATACTTATCGAACCTGGATTGATTGAAAAATTAAAACAAGAAAATAAGGTTAATAGTAATTTATCTCGATTAGATATTGAAATGCAAAATATTATGAATAGTAAGACGGAAGACCGAAAGAAATGGATATTATATTTACAAACACTGCAAAGATACCTTCATTTTACCGAAGAGCATCGTCAACCACTCAAATTACCAATTTATTCTGATACATCTAATGAAGATTCAAATGAGTCAAAAATTGGTTTTAAAAATAAAGATAGAGATCTAAAAACTTCAGTTGATATTGAATCTTTGCTGGAGGAGAATCGATCCATTAAAAGTAAAGAAAATGATGAAAATCCACTTTACACACCCGCTCAAATACTCAGTTTAATACCAAAAACTTATCATAAAAAAGAGCAGTTATTATTAAACTTAGTTGAAACAAGTAAAAGTAAAATACATTGGGATAACGAAGGTACAGTCATAATTGATAGTGAAAAAATTCCTGGAAGTAATATTGTTGATTTAATAAATGATTCACTAAGACCCCTAAAAAGAAGTGATCCGGTAGGGTGGGTTAGATTTGCTGAAGCATTAAAAGATATTAAAGTACCACTTACTTATATTGGAAATCCAAGGAGATGTGAGTTTATTAACCAACTTCAAGCAAAAGATCTGAACAAACCCTCTGAGATTGAAGTTCAAGAGTTTTCTACACCGTGCAGTAGAGATAAAAAGTCTACAACTAAAATACGTAAAGGACTTGAGTGGGAAAAATGGACTCCGTACTAGAAGAAATTAACAGGATTTATTATGATCCATCTAATCCCGCTGGTTTTGGTAGTATTGATAAATTATCAAAAGCCATGAAGGGTAAAATGAATAAAAAGCAAGTAAAGGAATGGTTAAAATCACAAGAAACATACACATTACATAAACCCATTCGAAAAAAATTCCCGCGTAATAGGTACATTCTATCAAATATTAATGAACTGTGGCAAGCTGATTTAAGTGATATGCGAACTTATTCTCAATATAATGATGGTTTCAAGTATATACTTTGTATTATTGATGTATTTAGTAAATATGCTTTTGCAAGACCAATGAAAAAGAAAAACTCAGAAACAACTAAAGAATGTTTTGAAAGTATATTTACTGAAAGTAATTTAACACCTACTCACATACAATCCGATAAAGGTACAGAATTTGTTTCAAAAGATGTACAAAAATACTTTAAATCCAAAAAGATTAATTACTATACCACTAACAACCCTGACATTAAGGCCAGTATTGTTGAACGATTTCAAAGAACACTAAAAATGAAAATGTGGCGTTATTTCACTCATAATAATACTTATAGATATATAGATGTTTTACAAGATTTAATATACTCTTATAATCACAGCTTTCACTCTAGTATTAAGATGTGCCCATGTGATGTAAATTCCAACAATATTATGACAGTTTGGACTAATCTTTATGATAGACGGTCAAAAAATCTTTCTTTAGAAAATCCTAAACCAAATTTCAATGTGGGTGATTATGTTCGAATAACTAAATATAAACATGTATTCCAAAAAGGATATGAATCAAATTGGAGTGATGAAATATTTATTATATCTTCAATAATTGATAGATCTCCATGGGTTGTTTATACAATAACAGATTTACAAAATGAACCAATAATTGGTACTTTTTATGAAAGAGAATTACAGAAAATCACTTACAACCCCACCTCACAACATAAAATAGATAAAATAATTGACACTCGTTATTCGGGTAACAGAAAAGAAGTATTAGTGAAGTGGAAAGGTTATCCAGATAAATTTAACAGTTGGATTTTAGCTTCTAGTTTAAAAGAAATATGAATAAAGAAAGTTTCTATTTAACTTTGCTCAGCAATAGTTCAATGGAATACTTTCCTGATAACAAGACCACAAATTTTTCAACGAAATTACCAAAAGCTATAAAATTAGAAGGTGAATGGTCGGTTGGAGTTGTCAAGTTTCAATATCCATGTACCATGTTTACTGTTCAAGACCATGAAAATGTTATATACATTACAAAATCTATGTTAATGCCTAATGAAGATAAGCCATCCACAGTGTACTACAAAAAACATATTCCAGCTACCAACTATGATAACGTTGAGCATATTTTAAGAGTGTTAAATGGTATCGGAGAGAACTTGAAATTTCGCTATGATGAAATAACAAAATTTGTGTCTATTTCGGTATTGGATAAAAATATAACATCCGTAACATTATCACCCAAATTAAGTTTACAGCTAGGTTATGAACCAAATAAAAATCTCCTAGAGAGAAATTTTGGAAAGTGTCCTGCTAATTTACACTTAGGGTTACCATCTCAACTATTTCTATATTGCGACATTATCGATCCTCAGATTGTGGGTGATGTTATGACTCCTTTATTAAGAGTCATTTCATTAGATCCTACAAAATACATTTATGGTGCAAATAAAATGCACGTTTTCTCTCAACCTCACTACTTACCTGTTATGCGAAGAGAGTTCGATACGTTGGAAATAGTTATAAGATCGAGTACAGGACAAAAAATACCATTCCAGTTTGGAACCGTGTGTATTAAACTACATTTCCGAAAATTATAATAATGAATTCTCTTCGTGATCATCATAAATGTCCATATGAAAATTATTATACACATCAAGCTGGATCAGGAGTTGGAGTAATTTATAAGGGTTCACCATATCAACGCGGTCATGGTATTGGGAGCTTCTTAGGGGGGTTATTCAGATCAGTTTTACCTTTACTTTCAAGTGGTGCTCGAGTGATTGGTAAGGAGGCATTAAGCGCTGGAGTAGGACTTTTATCGGATATGGTTCAAGCCCGTCCTATGGAAGCCTCAATAAAAGATCGTCTAAAGCAAGTTAGTACGAATTTAAAACGAAAGGCTGATGAGAAAATTGATCAATTTAACATGACTGGATCTGGGTATAAAACTAAAAGAAAACGATTGACATCGTTCATTCCACCATTAACTGCTAAAGTGAAAGCTGCGAAAAAACTTAGTCTAAAACCAAAAAATATCAAAGATATATTTTCAAACTAAATATGTCTTTCCTTCATAATCATTCTTGCGAGTGCGTTAAGTCAGAATTGGATTTGTTTGCACTACCGTCTACACAAACTAGCATTGAAAATGGATTGTGGATTCATTATAAACCAATTTCATCTCTTGGTGATGATGGACCTATCGAGTTTCAAGTTCCTGGGACCGGCGATGACTACATAGATTTGTCTCATACATTACTCCACATAAAGGCAAAAGTATTAAAACAAGAT